GTGGAACTCCCGACGCTGCACGCGGGCGCCCTTGATCGTGCCGCAGTCGATCCAGCCGTTCATGCCCTTGGCATGCCGCAGGAACTCAGCTACAGCCGCCTCTTTCTGTCAGGGGAGGACGGGGATCACAACATACACCACACACACATGAATGAGCATGGCCCCGTTCCCTCCCTCCCCATCCCTCCTTCATGTCCTCACCTTTGCTGCGAGTGCGTCCCTGATCCGCCTGAGCACCGCCTCAGTGGGCAGGAGGTCGGGCCTGTCGGTGAAGCTGAAGAGGGGCTGCTTGGGCGCCACGACAATGGCGCTGCTGGTGGGTGCTGCGGTGGGCTGGGTGGGCACATCGGCGTCGTCAGCCGAGTCTGTGGTGGATGCGGTGGGTGTGGCTGAGCGGGGGGAGACGATGGGGGACTCGCGGGGGGTGAAGAACTGGGAGGTGCTGATGGTGTCGCACGAGACCCTCTTGCTGCTGCTGCTGCTCAAGGGCAGGCACATCGGGCTATCCTCGAAATGCACATCCGGGGTGTCTGAACGGAAAAGATCAGAAGCACGAGTCATCACGTGTGTGGTTGAATCGCTGCGAATAGTGAGATCCTCCTCACCTCTGGGAGAAAGGGGCTTCAGAAACTGAACACACACACACAGAGAGAGAGAGAACAACACACACACGAGAGATCAGCGAGCGCTCGTCACGAGGCAGATCTCGCCTCTCCTTCCTTTCCTTCCTACCGGAGAAACAGAAACGTTGGCGGCGGGCATCTTGGCTCCTTCTTCTGCCAAACCAAAGAAAGTAGGCTCGGGAAAGGAGCTGGGCAAGTCCAGCCGGCTGTGAGGCCGAGGGCGAGGGCTCTCGTGCGGACTTTGCGCGGAAAGTTTATGGGAGAAAACCGGCCGCTCTCAAGCAAACGAGGAGCTATCACCGGCAGGAAAGGGTGGAAAAAAAGCAAACACGGGCACGGGAGCCGCTAAGCTTGTCGTCTTCCTTTTAGGGTTTCCGTACAGCTCGCAACCTGTTTTACGGAGTACCCTAAGTGGCCTGACCCATGGGTGTAGCAGTGCACCTTAACATGCAACAGGCACACAGCAGCACACAAAGGGCAGAAGCACTGACGTCAACAGGCTGATAAGACAGACAACAAGCCCATAAAGATCTGCGCAAGCTCGCTCCTTCCAAGTCCCGCTGCCTCAGAGGAAGGGCGCAAGCATCAGGCGAACCGATCAGCCGGGCGGATCAGTGAGCTGATCTGGCATCCATCTGTCCGTCTGTCGTGTGATGATGGAGCAGGAGCAGGAGAGGCTCCTGGATGAGGCCACTGCGGTGGTCAAGGAGCAGGCATTCTACATGAAACGCGCTATCGTAAGCACACAACCAACAGCGGACATGACGGCAGATCTGATCTCTCTCTGTGTGTGTGTGTTGCCGTGGGCGTGTGTGTGTGTGTGTGTCTGTGTGGTTGTCAGGACAATGAGAACATTCGTGACGCTTTGAAGCATGCCTCCAACATGATATGCGAACTGCGGACGTCACTGCTGTCGCCCAAGAACTACTATGACCTCTGTGCGCCATCCGACACACACAACACAGGCCACACAGGCCAACACACATCCCCTCTCCCCCTCTCTCTCCACGTGTCTGTCGTGTGTCTGTCTGCTGGCTGCAGACATGCAGGTGTTTCAGGAGCTGCAGCACCTGGCTGGCTTTTTTACGGAACGTCAGAGGCACAGCCGCAAGATGTCTGATCTGTACGAGTCGGTTCAGCACGCGGGCAACATCCTGCCGCGTCTGTACCTGCTCATCACTGTGGGGGCCAGCTACATCAAGAGCAAGGAGGCGCCGGCAAAGGACATCCTCAAGGACATGACCGAGCTGTGCAAGGGCGTCCAGCACCCAATGAGGGGGCTCTTTCTCAGGTACTACCTCACGCAAATGTGCAAGGACAAACTACCGGACACCGGCAGCGAATACGAATCGTAAGCAAAGCAAAGCACCCTCCTCCTCCCTCCCTCCCTCCCTCCCTCCCTACACACACACACACACGAAACCCCTCTCTCTCTCTCTCTCTGTGGGTGTGGGTGTCACCCACTGTACATACAGTGAGGAGGGTGGATCGGTGAATGACGCCTTCGACTTCCTGCTGACGAATTTCACCGAGGCCACCCGGCTGTGGGCGCGCATCCAGCACAGCGGCTCGGCCAAGGAGCGGCAGCGGCGGGAGAGGGAGAGGCACGACCTGCGCGTGCTGGTGGGGGCCAACCTGGTGCGGCTGTCGCAGCTCGAGGGCATGACACGCGACTTTTATGCTGATGTGGCGCTCCCCAAGATACTGGAGGAGATGGCGAGCACCAAGGACACCATGGCGCAGCAGTACCTGCTCGACTGCATCATACAAGGTGACTGACTGACCATTGCTTGCACACAGAGGGGAGAGGGGAGAGGGGAGAGGGGGGGGGGAGGGGGGAGACCGGTCTGTTGACGAGTGGCTGTGTGTGGTGTGTGTGTTTGTCAGTGTTCAGCGATGAGTGCCATCTTCGCACGCTGGACCAGTTCCTGAGCGCGTGCATGAGGGTCCTGCCCTCAGGTGGGTCAGACCAGACGAGGGGAGAGACCACTCTCCTTGCCGGCTGTTCACTTCTCGCTATGCTGAGCTGTGCTGTGCTGTGTGCCTTTCTCTCTCTTTATGTCAGTTGATTTGAAGCCGATTTTGGTGAATTTGATGAAGAGGCTTGCCAACTTCGTCTCGGCTAACCCGGACGTACGCAGCCACACACACACACACACACCCCTTCATTGCCACACTTATGGCGTGTGTGTGTCGCATCCCATCCGTCAGGCTGTGCCCGAGGGTGTGGACATCTTCGGTTTGTTTCGCCGCCACCTCAACGAGCTCATCGACCGCCCCGTCCCCGCGCCACCACCAGCCACAGCACCAGGCGCCACAGCCATCAACGGACCCACTGACAGGGGTACGCCACACCGCACTAGAAGGAATCCATCACTGCAATGTGCTGGCTGGTTGGTGTGGCATGATCAGGTTCTCAGGTGGACCCGTCAGGTCTGTTAGAGCTGCAGGTGGCCTTTCTCACCTTCACACTCACACTCTACCCCGAACGAGTGAGTGCAACACACACACCAACACCAACACCCACCACCACGACCAGACGTACACCATCCACCCACCGTCTGTCTGTCTGTGTCCTTCTCAGGTGGACTATGTGGATCTCATTCTCGGCTCGACCGTGACGCTGCTGTCGCGCATCTACGGCAGCCCGTCTGGGCCAGGGGTGGCGACCAACGGCAAGGACAAGGAGGCGTCGGGAGGTGGGGGTGAGGGCGGCCCCAAGCGCAAGCTGGAGGGCAAGGGCGTGGACAGCGTGGTGGAGCTCCTGGCCACACCGCTCAAGTCGCTGTCGCTGTCGATCCTGGAAATGGACCACTACACCAACCTCATGAAATTCCTCAACTTCCGTACCAGGAAACAGGGTCAGTGTGCGGTGTGGTGTGGTGTGCAGAGGGGGTCCATGTGTGTGTGTGTGTGTTTGTTGTGTGTTTGTTTGCTTGATGCAGTTGCGATATCGATGGTGCGGACGGTGCTGGCTGCGGGGACGCCCCTCGACGAGCCGGACGCCGTGCAGCGATTTTTCAGCTTCATCACACCACTCATCAGAGACGAAGAGGTCACCGACACCACACGCCGTGCCCCACGACGTGGTACACGTGATGGTCTGTATGTATCTGTTGTGTGTGCAGGACAGCCCGTTGGACGAGGAGGTCGACGCCGAGGAGTTTGCGTCTGAGCAGCAGCAGGTGTGCCGGCTGATACATGCCATCCGACATGACGACACCGACCAGGTCTTCGCCATGTACACCACTGCCAGAAACGCATTCGGTGAGCTGAGCCAGCGCCGCGCACACGAGGCCAGCCAGCCAGCCGGGTGTGTTGGTGTGTGGATGTATGGATGGTATTCATTCATTGATTAGGCAAGGGCGGTCCCCGTCGTATGGTGCACACCCTCCCCCCCACTGTGGCGGCTGCTCTCCAGCTCATCCCACGGATACAACAGAGGGAGATCGACGCCGCCAGCGGCATCGAGGTCGGTGTGGTGCGTGGGGAGGGAGGTGACAGGCAGGCGGGAAACAGAGCATCACATCGTGTGTTTGCCTTGCCTTTGTCGCTGTCTGTCTGTCTGTGTGTCTGTCTGTCAGGGTGTGGCCCCCCCCTCATACACACTCAAGAAGGTCTTCCAGTTCGTCCACAGGGTGAGCGTGCCAGAGGCTGGCATGTGGTGTGGTGTGGTGTGCAGTGCACCACACATGTCTCCATCTGACATCTACATCTGTCCTCCATCAGACCTGCACGGAGCTGGTGTCGTGTGCGCCCGAGGTAGCCCTCCGTCTGTTCCTGCAAGCGGCGGTGATGGCCAACAAGTGCGACGCTATCAACCCAGGCAGCTTCGAGCCCATCTGCTACGAGGTAAGATGGGCAGTTGACAGTTCATTGTGTTATGTGTTATGCATCGGATGGATGGGCCAGTTCGTGACACAAGCGTTGGTGTGCTACGAGGAGGAGCTGTCCGACAGCAGGGCACAGTTCCAAGGTATGCACACACGCACGGGTGGGTCGGTCGAGGTGGAGGTCACTCACTGTGTGCCACCCACAGGCATCCTGATGATGGTTGGCACTCTGTCGAGCCACGTCACGTGCCTCGAGCCCGACAACTACGACACACTGGTCAGTCAGGGTCAACCCACACACACACACCAACACCTCATATGTGTGTGTTGATCCATCCATCCATCAGGCGGCCAACATCACTCAGCACGGCGCCAAGCTGCTCAAGAAGCCCGACCAGTGCAGAGCCATTCTCGTCTGCTCACACCTCTTCTGGAACAACGTAACGCACCCCCACTCAGCCAGAAGAAATACACCCCCTGTCTGTGCGGGTGCGTGTGTGCGTCTGTGCAGCCACTAAGGCGCAACCCCCAGAGAGTGCTCGAGTGCCTGCAGAAGGCCCTGAAAATCGCAGGTCGACAGGCAGGCTGGACACACACAACTCAACACATTTAGAGAAACACTGTCGGTGTGTGTCGATTCGATCAGATGTGGCGATTCAGTCCTCCCCGGCGCACGTGGCGCTGTTTGTGGAGATTCTCGACAAGTACATTTACTACTACGAGCAGGAAAACCACCACGTGAGCGGCAGCAAGGGCCCTTGGACACCTGGATGGACGTCTCTCTCTCTCTCTCTTTCTCTCTCTGTTGTGTCATCCCATCTATCGTTGGTGCAGATAACGGTGTCTTACATCTCTCACCTGATGGAGCTCTGCAACGAACAAGTCACCTACGCTGATGAGGGTAGATGCGTCCATGCATGGCCTATGCGAAGCCTTTGCCCACGTGTGTGCGTGTCCCGTGTGTGGTGTGGTGTGGTGTGGTCTGCCCAGATTCGATGACGGAGCCTCGAAAGAACTTCAACGCGACGCTCAACTACCTCAAGAAGAAGAAGGCGCAGCTACCACCTGACGCCAAATACGCAGGCAAGCGCTGCCCTGCCCTGCCCTGCCGGGCACCCGGCCAGCGAGAGAGCATATATTTGTCCGTGTGTATGGGTTTATTCTGTGTGTAGAGCTTGACCTGGATAAGCTGTCGACGAGCACTCTCAACAATGGAGTCGGCTCATAGTAGTCGTGTGCTGTACCCATTCGCCCCTCCCCCTCCCCCTCCCCATATCTCTCTCCCCTTCTCTCTGTCTCACTCATGCGCACGACCAGCCAGCCAGACAGCCAGCCAGCCAGCCAGCCACAGCCCACCGGCATCCATCCATCGGTTTAACTGATGTGTATGTATGGGGACAAGGTCGTTTTTCTATCATCTGGCGGGCGGGCATGTGCGCGTGTTTGTGTATGCGTGTGTGAGTGTGCGGCGCAGCCAGCGAGACCAGCAATTTGATATTTGTACGAGCCGACACGGCATGGACAGCTAGAGGATGGCTGCCGAGTTGCCTCTGAGTGCATGATGCAAGAGTGGCTAGATAGGCGAGGCGAGGCCAGGAGAGCTGAGGCGTCGTGTGTGGATGATTCGGTAGGCCATCTTATCATGCACACGCTGGTAGGGTAGAAGACAGCAGACGATGGAAGCAAGGATGGAAGGGGCCCGGCCCGCAGGCCTCACTAACGTATGCGGCATGCCACGTAGGGGCATGCCATGCAGGTGCGTGTGTGCGTGCGTGACGAAGATGTGTCGAGATGTTTTAATGTAAGTGCATTCCTGTGTCTGTGTCAACTCAACCAGCCTTTCTTCGGACCGTTGACGAGCAAGCAAAGCACCCTACGCAAACCCTTACAGGCAACACATGCCGCTGACGGTGCGTGCAATGAATACAAAGACAGCCGTCTACCCAGACCGATCCTCGATGGGAGGCAAGCTCTCTATCTCGACGCACGGACAGATGCATCCATCCATCATCCGATCTTTGTACAGACACGACCTTATTCAGGTCAGTCAGTCAGGCAGTCGACCCCTGGCTGTGCGCTCTACGCCCCCGGCTGCACCAACGGCTGGCTTGGCGATGGCGATGCAGCCGCCCTCGATGACAAATTCGCCGACTCATCCGGGGGATAGCTCGACACGGCCGTCACGTAACCTGAACACACAGACATGCACACGAGGCTTAGCGGCTTTGTGGCCTGCCTGCCTGCCTGCCTCAGTGCTCTCAGACATCTATGGCTGCGTGCTCACTTTCGTTGCTGCCCCTTGGGTCGAGGGAGATGCCCGGGGTGGACCGCAGCGCAGAGATGAACTCATCCCGATTCTGTCACCAAATCGGTGAGTGGTCCAGACACTGAAGTGTGTTTCTGTCATTCATGTGTCAGTCCCTCTGACCTCACCCACCGTGTGGCTATCGAATGTCAGTGTGAGCAGGTTTGTGGATGGTGTGAGGAGGGTGAGGGTCACCGCAGCACCGGGGCCCTCTATCGAACAATAACGCACAGACAGGGCATGGAAAGATCTGCACACCGTCATCTGCACACTCAATCAACACAACACATTCACAGGCAGCCGTCCATCCACCCAGCACAATCAACCAGATTCTTCTGGTGGTGGCTCACATCGTGTCTGTTGTTGAGCAGCTTGATTGCCGCTTCAGAGGAGAATACAAGCACGAGGGACTCCTCTGCGTCGCTGTCGCCAGTCTTTACAGACACATCGTACACTGCATGCGGACACGATGGAGCACATGTGTGTGTGTCCATTCCTTCCCTCGTGCACCTCACCTCTATCTCCCTTCTGCGGGAAATACTGCGTCTGACATACAGTACACGCCAAATCCATGGATTGCATCAACACACTACCCACGGCAGCCATTCATTCGTTCATTGCATCTATCAGCATCTCATCTTCTCCGCGCTTTCACCAGCGGCTGTGCTGCCCATCGCCGGGCTCCTGCTGCCGGCTGCGGGGCTGCCAGGCGGCCCCCGAGCCGAGAAGGGGAAGGGCAGATTCATGCTCCGATAGAACACCGGGCATTCCCGCGGACATGAGTCTATCTTGTCCGCTATCCTGCTTAGAAATCCACCCATGATCAACGGGAGAGCCTGGTCTGAAAGCCTGGTCCAGTGTCTTCACGCAGCAGGAATCACCCACGCAGGCTCCACACGCAGCGCTTCGAGATCTGCGGAGTTTGCTGCATCTGCCCTCTCTCTGCGTGGTGTGTGTTGGGTGTTGGTAGTGCTGTTTTTCCTTCAGACCGCCTAGGGTGCTTCCTGAAACCGCTGCTGCAGGAAGGGGAGAGCACATGTTGTGAGAATATCTGAGGTATAGATAATCTTGCTTACTGAGCCAAAATGGAGGCTTCTGGCCCTTCTGGCCCATCAAGCGCGAAGAGGCCTGAGAAGGCCGACGCCCGGCAGGCTGTGCGCGGCCTGCTGCGTGAGCTGAACGTACTCGAGTACGATGAGGCCGTGCTGGACCAGCTCGTGGAGATCATGCACCGTGAGCTGCGCACACATGTGGATGGCATGGCAGCATACCATTGCCATTGGATGGCTGGCCGTGTGTGTGTGTGTGTGTGGTGTGTGTGTGTCAGGTGAGGTGAGGAGTGTGTTGGGCATCGCCGAGGAGCTGTCCCGCAAGCACGACGGCCAGAAGAAGGCCAAGCTCGACGTGTCGGATGTCCGAGCGGCCATCGAGATGCGCGCACAGATGGGACCGAGGGAAACCATCGACCCTGACGTGAGCAGCGACCAATGCAATGCCCACACAGGAACAGACAGACGAGGAGAGAACAGACCACTGTCTGTGCGTGTGTGTGTGTTTGTGTGTGTGTGTGTGTGTGTGTGTTTGTGTAGGTTCAGAAGATCGAGGCGAGTCGCACCAACAGCTCGGAGCTGCCGCCGGTGCCCGAGGGCGGGGGTCTGCTGCTGCCGAGTGACAGGAGCAGACGCACCACCACCAACTGGCGGCTCGACCTGGACAGCTTCGCATGACTCTAGTGCTGCAGGGCGCGGCGCCTGCCTGGCTCTCGTCGTGTCTGGAGGTGCGATGGATGCTGGTTGTACAGTCTTGTGACGTTGGTTGATGTAAGCGAATGCGGGTGCATGGGAGCTGGCAGACGGGGGTCTGAAACTCGCGCACGCACGCAAGCCTTATGTGTGAGTAGAGTGAATGGAACACGCGTCTTCAGAGGGGGCCCTTGCCTTTTCATCCACTCTACTCAGTGACATTAAGGCAGTCTACGGCAGTGTACAGGATGGTGGCGTGACAGCAGTGCTTGTGCGTGCGGATCACCTCGCATCTATCTCTCTGAGCAGCCTAGCATGTTTGACGGACACAGGGTGTCTACTATGGTGATGTGGATCTTTGTACTGTGCACACCGTCCATCCGCCCACCCCCTGCATGCTTGTATCCCCATCTCAGATGCGTACACGCCGTCGTTCTCGAGATAAAGGCACAGTGCACGAAGAAGCGGGCCGAAAAAGATGTGGGCGTCTCACATCCGCCCACTGTTTTCGGTCGCGCATGCATGCAAAAGCGGCTTGCAAGGCGAGCCATCTGAGTTCTCCGCGCCCTTTGCGAGAGCTCTTTAACGTCAGCTGCATCCCAGCTGCCATTTGTGACGATCTCCCATCCCCCCATTTCCTGCATCTCCCATCATGTCAACCGCGGCCGGCCCTCCGCCATTATATCCCTCTCCCGGCGCCAAGATTTCGCTGCTCCTCGCCGATGACGGCGGCGGGGAGAGAAAAGTGGTCGAGTTGACGGTGGAGAAGCTGATTAGTAAGGGCGCCGACGGGGCAACAACGTTGCTGGCCCCCACGAGCGGCAACCTGCCGCTGGTGCACAGATGCGTCGGCAAATCGGCCCACGACGCCAGCAACGACGCCGCCATCCTGGCGGAAGCGGCCAGCCTGACGGCAGTGTGGCGAAGGGCCGAGGAGGCGGGGGATGAGGGGGGTCCCAGGGTGCCGAGGGTGGTGGGGGTGGCATGGGTGGAGGTTGAGGGCGGCCGCAAGATGCCCATCATCATCATGGAGCGGCTGCAGTGCGATGTGAACGACCTGCTTAGGGCCTATCAGGCCAAGATGCAGCGGCCGCTGCCCCTCAAGGCCGCTCTGCAGACCTGCAGCGAGATGGTACGGCGTGATGCATTGTCATTCATCAAACCATCAGCCATGTTGAGAATCCCTTGCCTGTCTGTATGTATTGTGTGTGAATGCGAAATACAGGTGGTGGGGCTGGAGCAGTTCTGCCGCGCGGGCAAGTCGCACGAGGACATCAACCCCGGCAACACCATGTTCACCGCGACTTCCCCGCCGGCAGCCAAGCTCATCGACGCCACTCGCTCGGCGGACCTGGACATCAAGGCCATCAAGGCCTTCCAGAACCGCCCGCTGCTGGACCGGCTGATGAGCAGCAATGGCCAGCAGAGCCGAGGAGGGCTGAGGGGGGCTCCCCTGTTCGCCAGCCCACACACGCTTCGGGGCGACCTTCCTTGCGGCAGGTGGGTGAATGAGGCAAGGAATCACGCAGGGAAGGAGGCACACGTGGAGGGGAGCTGGGAGAGAGAGGTGGAAAGTCATTTGTTCATTCATTGGTTCAGGGAGGACCTGTCGGCGGCTGTGAGGCTCACCATACACATGGTCACCGCGGCGGCAATGCACACCGACCCCACCATGGTCTCACTCCAGAGGCGGACCAGGGAGGGCAACGACCGCCAGAAGACCGGCGTGCAGTTCCTGTACGCCCGCGAGAAGATGGAGCAGAAGGCGCTACTGCAGATCAAGGAGATGCTGCCGGGTAGGTGGGGGCGTGTGTGGGTGCGCCAGCCACAGACAGACAAAAAGGTCACTTGTAGTGACCTGCCGTGGTTTGGCTGTGGTTGATGTGCAGGCGAGATGGGAAAGGAGATCTACCCGCGTCTGAAGTCGCTGCTACAACACGTCGATGAGCTGCCGTTCGCCGTGCCGCAGCCGTCGGTGTATGCCGACATCAGACGCCGGATCGGCATCATCATCATGTGGTACGTGAGACACCGTTATTAATGCAGCCCCGCTGATCCATGCTGAGCGAGTGGATCAAGGTCTGTCTGTCTGTTTGTCTGTCTATGTGGCCTCATTCCACCAGCCTAGACGAGTACGGCAAACCGCAAGGACGGCGGCATCCCATCGTGGACTCATACCACAAGGATGACCTCGCAACGGCGCTCGAGCAGGCGGTACGCACGTATCCATCCATCCATCCATCCATGGGATGCGCTGAAAAAACTGGCATCATTCTTTCAACATGTGTGTCAGGGTTTGATCATGACCAAGGAGCCCGAGCAGCCGCAGCAGTCGCGCGCTGACAGCCAAGAGGAGACACAAGACACCAGCAACGCTCCAGGGCAGGTCAGCCAAGCTGAGCTGAGCGGGGACATGGATGGATGGATGGATGGATGTGTGTGTCTCTGTGGTGTCAGGGCGTCACTCAGGAGGACACACACAAGGAGGACACACACGAGGAGGACAGCAGCACCACCCCCAGCAGCAGCTCCAACCGCAGGAAGAGGCGCAACGCCGTGACGCCCAAGCACTACCCCGAGACGCCAGACAACAGACGCCACAGCACCGACGCCGAGGGAGACATCGACTCAGACACAGACGGCGACGACTCTGATGTGGACATGGCGTGGGAGGCAGAGGCTGAGGAGGCGGAGCCATCTGTCAAGAGGCGCAAGTGCATCCCTGTGGTGTAGTCAAGAGGCTAGGCTGCCGACGGTTTCGTGGTGAATCGAATCGTGCGAGGGAGGCAGCACGTATGTTTGTAGCTTTTTGGGCGGTATGGGTGGGCGGGTCTGCGAGGTGGACGGACAGGATTTGTGTAGTTGGTTGGGCGGACTGAGGGATGCATGTTGTGCGCACGCGTGTGTGACGTTCTATTCGATGAAAGCCTGCCTGCCTGCTGCCCCCTCTCGTGTCCATTCATCGATTCCTCAACGCATAAAGCGCCTCCTTGTGTCCGGCATGCAGTCTATATAGATGGCTAGACGTGCACGAATTCAGCGACTTCACTTCCCTCCCTCCCTTCCTCCCTCCCGTCGACATGCACACACACCACAGCCCCTCCGACAAAACACAAACAAAACAGTCCCCTTGCTCGTACCCACACCCTGCTGTGCTACAAAGCCTGTACACTCGACAAGAAATCTCAGAATGAATGGGTCGATGGATCTCGATGGACCGAAGGACGCACAAGACACACGCACACACACACACGTGCCTCTTGGCAGGCACACACACACACGCACACGCACACGCACACACAGACAGCCCACAACACTTCTACAGGCAGGCTCACGGCCAAAGCACACACCAGTGGTGGTGCTCACCGACACAGACACGCATGTGTGCATGCACCAATCTACAGGAAGATTCACTCATTCATTCTGCTGGATTCTTGTAGGTCATGGTGTGGAGGAACGCCTTGGCCTCCTTCTCAGCCTCGCTGATCTGCGAAAAGTGCCACTTGAGCTCACGGGCCATCAGACGAACAGTCTGATCGACAGACACATAGTCACCACACAGAGGGAGGGAGACATCACCGTACTCTGTGCGCATGTGTGTGGATGTGGGTGGCGAGCGTAGCGTAGCGTACGTCGTGTGCGATTCGTGACGCCTCATCTGCGTCCACGAATGCCAGCCGGATCCTCCGACCCAACACGTCGGGGATGGTGCACCCCATCTCATGTCTGCAGACACGGTGGACCACACAAAACGGACACGGACACAGACACACATGTCCGCCGCCCACACAGACAGACATGGCCACGGTGCACCCACCTGACAGCATAGACGACTTCGGCTCTGATGAAAGGTTGGTTCGGCACAAGTGGGTCGAGCAGCCCCTCCTTCTTGCCCAGCTCACACACGTCGAGCGCACGGAAGCCGTAACTCCGCACCAAATACTCCGCCTGCGTAGATGTGGTGGGCCCCCCATGTTGGGTAGTGGGTGCTGTGCTGGAAGTGTGTGTGTATACCGTAGGCAGTTTGAGGTTGTACTGTTTGGTGAGATGGAGAGGCAGCTTGCCGCCCAACACGCTCACCTCCTGGCCAGTGGGATGGGAGGGACACACGCATCCATCACACGCAGCATCGCATCTGCAGATGGGTCTCTGTGTTGGTCGGGTGCCTCTCCAGCCGTGCCGACTGACTTACCTTTGGCTGGAAGTTGCCCGTGTGGTCGTGCGATCCCATGATCAGCAGATTCTTGGTTCTGCAACGACACAACCAACACGGCAGCAAGCAAGTGACATGCATGGCGCCACGTGGCCAGGTGGGTGAAGGTATGTGTAAATAACCTGCATGGCGCCCTCGTCCTGATCTTATCGCGATGGACCTCCAGAATCTTGTCAACCGCATCCTGCCAGCAAACACATCAAGATCACACATGACCTCTCCCGCCCTCTCTGTCTGTCTGTCGGTCGGTCGGTCGGTCGGTCTTTACCTGTGCCATTCTTCGGTAGGTGGTCCACTTGCCGCCCATTACTGACACGAGACCCGACGGATCGACAACAATCTCGTGGCTTCGGGACAGCTTGGCAGTGCTGCCCTCATCTGCTGACTGATAAGCGAAAGAGGGACAAAGACATCACACAAGTGTTCCCTTGCTCACCTTGGGGTCTTTGACGAGCGGCCTCAGGCCAGACCATGACGCCTTGATGTCCTGCCTGCACACACACACACATCCATCCATCCATCCACAATCCCCATACACCTTCTCCCCACCCATCCATCCCCCGCCCACACCCACACCCGCACCCACCTTATTTGCGCCTCATCAAGGGAGAGGTATCGTGCCGACTCCCTGACGATGAAGTCGACCTCCTCGCTGGTTGGCTTGGGCAGGTGTGTGAGCACCGACTTGGCGTCGGTCGTGCCGGCGATCGTATTGTCCTCCCACGGCAGATAGAACAGCACTCGCCCGTCGGTGGTCTCCGGGATGATCATGCCGAAGTTGGGCGGCGAGTACCACTTGGGCAGCACCACATGGACACCTGTAATTCGATTCCAAACGGGGATGTGGATGCGGTCGTCCTGTGTGGGTGGACGGGGCGTACCTGCGGCTGGGGCGACGAGTTTGCGGCAGTTGGGGTCGGCCATCTCGCGGATTTGGTCAGCAAAGGGACCTGACATGACATCCATGGCATGGGGGCCAGAATGGAATGGAGGATGACAAGGACAGCTGTGTGGGTGGGGCTATGATGTGGGGTGCTGCGTGCCCCCTCCCTCTCTCACTGACCGGTGCAGTTGACGACCACTTTGCCGTGAATGTCAAACTCTTCCTTCTTGACCGTGTCGCGAACCTTTATCCCGTTCTACACATGCCACATCACACAACACACCGATAGGCAATGACATTGCCCCCGCCGCTTTTTGTGTGTGTCTGCTCTGCGTTGCAACTCAGCTCACCACGAGGCCGTCACTGTCCTTGATGACGCCGATCACCTGGCAGTGGTTCGCAACCGCCGCGCCCTTCATGCCCTCCACGTAGCCGTCCATCGATGCCGTCAGCGCCAGCTGGATGTTCATGCGGCTGTCGTTGTGCTGGCCGTCGTAATACACAAGGGCGCCCTTAAGGCCTTCCGACTTGAGGAGGGGGAACAGAAAGAGGGTGTTGGCTCGGCTGGTGTAGAAGCACTCGGGGAGGCCTGAAGGGAATGGAATGGACAGGCAGACAACAAAAAGGACTAAGCATCGGTGGTTGGTTGGATGGATGGGTATTGGGAGGGAGGGAGGGAGGGAGGGAGGGAGGGGGGCTTGCGTTGCGTGCGCTGCGCACCTGTGTCGAAGCAGCAGACGAGCTTGGCGAGCCAGTCGTAGGCCTTGATGCCCGCGTAGAAGTAAGGCACCTGCCACCAGTTGTAGATGGGCATGACGATGGGCAGCGGCTTGGACATGAACGGCGCGCTCTTCATCATGTGCGCACGCTCCTCCAACGCCTCCCACACCAAATACAACCTGAGTGAGGGACACAACCACAACCACCACCACCATAATCTCGGTGCCGTGCGGGCCTCTCTTTCCGATGCACTGCACCATAATTCTTACTGGCCGATATCAAGGTTCTTGAATGCGGCCTCGAGGTACCTCACCCCGCCATGCAGGAGCTTGGTGGACCTGCTGGAGGTGCCTGAGGCAAAGTCGTCATACTCTACCAAGGCACAGTTGAGCCCACGACTCGCGCCATCCACTGCAACACCGCTCCCTGCACACATCCATCCATCCATCCCCAAGAGCCATGGCTGCCTGTCCGTCTGCTCTGCATATCATCTCATGATTGGTCACCTGTGGCGCCTCCGCCGATAACAATGAGGTCGAAGTGTTCCTTCTTCATCCTCTCTATGTTGTCCTCTCGCTTCGGCGGCGGCGCATACGAGTAGTTGGCATGGCCTATCATCCCCTGCTGATGGTTGTAGTGCAGAGCCGCATAACCACCTGCAGAAAGCAACGCAGCCAGTGCAGTGCGGACAGCCAGACAACATTCAACACACATCAACACACACACAAAGGGATAGCAAATGAAAAAAATTCGTCTGTATGCGGGCATGTACTGTACCTGCAGCACAGGCGCTGCCCAGCCCGCCGCCATAGATCAGAGTCTTGCGAAAGAAACCCATCAGCCAGCCGATCTATGTGATGTGGCTGGTCAGTCAGCTGATCTTGTGTGGCCGCAGTGGCTGCCCTCTGCTACCCTCATTCCTCCAGCTTCCTTCTCCCTTTTAAGGCTGCAGGCTTAGCTCGCAAATGCGACAGCCTAGGACATTCGTGAAACTGCTCGAGCTCACTGGGCGGCGTTTTTCCTTCCCTCCTTTTCTCTCCCACCCCGCTCAGTCAGTAGCTTGAGCACTTTGCGCATCTTGTTCTTTCACGATGGGCATCGACGACGTGCTGAGCGAAATCAACCTTTGGATACTCGACAGGTGAGTTGTGTGTGTGCAGGGGGGCGGGCAGGCAGACACACACAGAGGGCCTGCGGGCCATGGGCAGACACACGAGCAGGCACCCATCGTGTCTGTGTTCCTCCTTCGCTCTCTGCCTGCCTGCCTGTCTGTCTGTCTGCCTGTCTGTGTGCATGTGCAGTGACAACTTTCGGCAGCGGCCCAAGACGAATTACTTTCTGCTGGGCTCGTCCTTCGACAAGGTCCGCGCAGACATACACCAGGTGCTGGAAGATTTGGACATCCTCGAGGGCTCACCTCGTAAGGGCCGACGCCACGAGTGGGCGGAGATGGCCATAGCCTACTCGGCCAGCGTCCTGCGGCAGGGCAGCGACACCAAGCGGCGCTTCCAGGACAAGCTGCGCGCCTTCGCCTGCTGGACGCTCACGCTCCACCTTTTCGACATCCTCGTCGATTCGGCCACGGTGCAGCAAATCAGCGCGCAGAAGGTCAAGGACATCTTGACGGCTGCCTGGACGGGCAGCAAGACCTTCACCGACGTCATCGGCGTGGGTGTGGACGGGGGCGTTCAGGAGGTGACGGCCGAGGAGGTGTTCCTGTACGGGCTGTTCCGGCTGATGGCCAAGACGCGGGCGTTGCTGGACGAGCTGCATCTGCCGGGAGAGGCGTACCCCATAGTGCTGCAGCAGTCCCTCAACCACGTGGACGGCCGCATGGCGGCGTGCGACATGACGTCCACCGAGACCTACTGCGCGTGGCGCGCGAACCACAGGTGGGTGCGGTGCGGTGCGGAGGACGCAGAGAAGAGAGAGACACACAACAGGGAGGGACGCACAAGGGGAGGGGGCCGGGCCGATGTGTGTGGGTGAGTGTGTGCCACGTGTGGGTGTATTTGTTCGTTGTGTTGTGCGTGCAGCAAGTACAAGTATGCGACCACTGTTGCGTTGGTGCTGCGGGCTGATGCGCTGGGCCTTACCGACAGCCCCCTCACATACATCAAGGAGCCCATCTTCCAGGCCGTTCTGCCGGTCGGTACACACAGCACAAACACCCCACCACCCCGTTGCAGTGTGTGTGTGTGTGTGTCTATCTGCCATCCCATCAGGGTGCGGCCCAGGCTGCCAGTTTGCTGGAGGATGTGCTGAACTACGTGCGCGGCGTGCCGAGCGAGCTCAACATCATCCGCATCTTTGAGGGCAGCAGCGGCGGCGCCATGGCCGACGCCACACCATCACACAGCGACCGGGCCGCCCTCAAGGGAGTCGAGCTCATCAACAAGGGCATCCAACAGGTACTACGTTGCGCGCACCACTCTCACGCCTACCTCCCTCCCTCGCCCACACATGACTGTGTGTGTGTATGCCGTTCTTCAGGTGATCGATGTGGTGACGGCTGAGGTGTCGGCTGTGTCCGAGGGCACGCCGTCAACCGCATCGATGGCTGTGTCTGAAGATGGCGAGGCCTCCCCGACGGCAGGGGGCATCGAGGCGCTGGCCGACAAGCAGCGGAAGCTGGAGGCACTCACACGTGTGGTCTGCGAGGTACGTCCCTCCCCCTCAGTCGTTCCCACAGAGGCATGGATAGATGGCACGGGCATCTCCTCTTTGTGTGTGGTGTGTGCAGACGTTGACAGGCTGCACGACCTACTATTACACCCAAGGGCAGTACCGCGGTGCCTGGCTAGTGCTCGAGAGCATCTTTGGCGATGCGGAGTACCTCTCCAAGATCGCCATGAAGGGCGGCTTCGTCACCATTCGACGCAGCACCACCGCACCCAACCTCAAGGCACGCACCGCACACACCACACCACACACATCGACACATCTTAGGCGTCTCTGTGGTGGTTTCTTGTCTTTCCGGGCTGGTCTGGTGTGGGTGTGTGTGCAGGGTATGATGGCCGTGAGCGGCATCGCGTCGTCGTTTGTCGAGCCCAACGTGGCCCTCAACAAAACATACAGACTTCCCATCAGCCACCCACCCGCCAGTGCCAGTGCTCCACAGGACGTGACCATGAAGGCCTAACTCAATGAGAGCAGAGACAGACAGACAGGCAGAGACAACAACACAATGGCCGATGAGAAATACAGAGAGATATAGATAGTTTGTGCATCGGATTCTGTTCTGTTCTGTTTCGCCATGAATACGTACTTGCG